AATATTTAAGAAAAATTTATGAGATTTGGTATGAAGAATTATGATCAGAGGGAGACTACAAAAGTCGTTTGCTTGAGTACCTCTGTCCTATTCGTGTTTCTGTCATGAAGCAGTTGTGTTTGCATGGCTTTGTTCGGTTTGAAGGGTGCGATGTGGCGTGAATTTATAGGGTACAGAGGAATAACAACCGAGTCCTCAGTAATGGCAACGCACGGGGGTATCATGGGCGAAACAGTATACTCTGTTATGTCCATGGTACTGCACATGTCTATAGGCGACGGTTACCAGTTTCCGTCAGGTGGGCCGTCAGCTTGTTTGCCATTCTAAGTTGTATAAAAAAAAAGAATTATGAATTATATATGAAATTATGAAAATAGGAGAGAATTGATATGAGGTCTTAGGTAATAGAAGCTAAAATAAAGTTTAGAATATTTGTCTATTTTTCTATTAGGTCCAGCATCATGCAAAAACAAATGCATCAAATTGGATACAGTTTTATCTTCCGAAGGTCTGATTTGAAATCTGGTGAATGTTTTTTTCTTGATAAGCTATTATAATTGGTAACTTCTAAAACCCACACGTACAAAGTTAGGGACAAGATCAGGTTTACAATAGCATACATGTACTATAGCCGTGTAGGTCCCGGCATAGAATAGGCTATCCCTTTCTTTCCAGTGGATGTCGTAAAAGGCAATTAAGGGAACTTATGGTCAAAGGATGGGCAGCAACAACTCTCTTGAAACATCACCAAAACCCAAACTACGGTTGCCAACCCGCCTGCCAAGCGTGACAATTGGTGGCAAAACCCTCATTTATGGGAAAGGTTATGTTCAGCGGTGGACAGTTAATGGCTAATATAATTCATTACAATTACTATGAATTAATATGTGATGAATGAGTTCATCACCGCTTATCTATTTCTGTTATGAACCAAAAATATAAAGGCGTTTGATTTGGTCTAAATATAAGCAGTGCAATCTCTGATTTATAAGCTTCAACATTTTACTAACCAATCAAGAATGACTACGTTTGAGGATGCCCCCGGCAACATTGTATTTTGGAATGCTGTTCATGCACAAGCGAAAGTGCTAAACTTTCAATCGGGTGGGCCGATTTGTTTGCTATTACAACGTATTAAAGATAACCGGCTATGCCAGATCGCGTATTTTGTCAAAATTTTAGGTAATTTGTATCTCTGAGAAATTTTGGAGAAATTGGATTGTTGAAGGAAAAACAAATTAGTGTGGAGAATTATGGGTAGTTTGAGACTACTTACATCAAAGATTTCAAATCATAAGCGCATACATGCAAGACTTATTAGAAAGAAAAACAAATATCACTTTTTACAATGCGCCAAATTTAAAGCGAAGGACTTTATCATGTAGAATGCATAATATTAAATTATACAGAAACTAGTAACTGTACATTTACGTGTAATTTGAATATCTTTTTTGCATTTAGATAATTTAAATTTTAAAAGCAAAATGTATCATTTTCGTCATCGCCATAATCATTATAAGCTTTAATCGTCCACTGCAGAACATAAGCCTCCCACTTGGAGGGGTTTTGCCAGTAGTTGCCACGCTTAACAGGCGGATTGGCAACCGCAGTTTGGCTTTTGGTAATGTTTTAAGAGGGATGCTGCTGATCATCTCTCGCTCTTCTTAGTCGTTATTACCACTTCACTTGCTTATACTTTAGGTTATATCGGTCGCTTTGGTTCTTCTGCGGATATCCTCATTACGGATGTTGTCATGTAAAAAAGCTCCGAGCATAGACTTCGCGATAGTTCGCTGAGCAATTTGAAACTCCTGCATACGGCGAATGTTTCGGTTTCGTAGGTTAACACTCCAATATCCTATTAAAAATTCTATACAGTGTATACATATCGCAGGCTTTTTCATGTAATTTGCTGCTTTGACACAAAAAATACCATTGAAAGTAGCAAGATGATATTAAGAGGTAAGAGTAGAGTACGAAAATACATCCTGTATTTTCATCATTTGTAGCGGTGTTTACTTGGTAAAACAGGCTAAAAACAGAGTAAAATTTGTGGGTTCAATATTTGAGGTAAAAGAGAACGAAAATCCTATCAATTTGTAGAAAAAAATTTTGAAATTTGGGGAGAAAAAACAAATCGTATCTGGCAACGCTGAAGACAGTCGATCGTCGAGGTCGTTTCATATTCGCTCCCGTTTTACAGTGTCGAATGCCAATACGTTGGCTTCGGACTGCGATTCTAATGTACAATACAAACATGCTTTAAAATAAACGTGACTGAACTGTTAAGTCGACTGTTACGATGCGGGGCACCTACTGCTGAATTCGTATGGTGCTAACACAATCTCGCGTTTGATCTTTAAAACCATAACCGAAGCTATGTACCGACGATCTTTAAATTTGGTCGTAAATTTCTTAAACCTTAGGTTTTTTCACTATTTTTTTTGTGACTTCTTGGTGAACTTTCTTTTTTATATATCACGTAATATTATTTAAATGCTTGTACTTTGTTCTAATTAGATTTTTTTCTTTATAATGCTTAGTAGGTAGTTGATTTTTAAGACATGAAAATTGAATGGGTTTGCGCTATTAGTATTGCTCTGGCAGTGAGCAATAATGAGTGGATGAAGACACATCTTTTGACTTGTGCCGAATTTATCAGTAATCAACCAAAATGGTTTCCAGGATCGCGTGAATGTCGACCTGAGAGGGTACTTTAGTAGCAATTCTCTCTTCACAGTTGCATTTTATAGACAAATTAAATTGCCTTCCATACAAAGTCACAGACTGTCCATTCACCAACATGTAAATTTCTTACAGCGGCATATTTTAGTTACTACGTTTTATATTAATGATTTGATTGTATTAGTGTAATACTTTTGAATACATATATACAAATATAGTACAATATGGAACAAGAAGAATTTGCTGTACAAAAACAATTTATAGTTACATATTTTTTTGTTGTAGTAGGTTTTACATGTTCATATTAATATTGTTGTTTTAAAATTCATCCAAGATTGGACAGGCAAAGAGCATGCCCCATACAGCCTAGTTATAAGTTAGAATTATTAAGTTACGAAGCCCACACATTGCATGAATGCATTTTGTATATGGTACTTCCTGTCAATTATTAAGTAAAATATATTATGATTGTTACGAGCAATCGTTATTATTTTAATAGATAAATTACTACTTTAGGTGATTATAGAATGCCTATTCACAAACTTTTTATCATAATTAATATGAAACTATCACGGGAGTAGACCTTTTTGTTTGTAAATTAAGGAAAACATCTGGTATAGTAGACAAATAATGAAGGCGAACTGAAAATCTGTGTTTTGGAAGTTTTTTTTTTTAAATCAAAGTAATATATTTTTTTTTTGCAAATAAGACCGAAGACATCGAAATTTCCAAATGGAGTTATTGTTTTTTTTTTTTTATTTTTATAATACTATAGATATGACACTGAAATCTTCAAGAAAAGAGCATATTCATTTCTTAAAGGTCGATAACATATCTGCTATTTATCTGATGGCCTATGAGCGGCGGTAATCACTCACCATCAAATGAGCCGCATGCTCATTTGCTCCTTATGTAAAAAAAATATATTACGGGTATGATAACGAGAAAGCATACAGCCTGTCCAATGGTAAATAGCTATCGTTACCTCAGGACGTTTGGATTATTAAGGATGTCACATACCTGTTGTACGATATATTTCTTTTTTTTTAATCGATGATAATGAAATGGTAACCCCGCCTGCACTAATGGTATACGCTTGCGGGGCACCAGTGAGGGATAATAGATGAGAATGAAAAAGGCAAGTCAGTTAGCTCATCGTAATATATACCTGGAATTCAGCACGATGGTTTCCAGGGGGAACGACGTAGAGGTCAACCTGATAGGGTATATTGCTAGCAATGGGACTGATAGTCCGCATTACTAACAATTCATTCCCCCCTGTACGATGTACTAAGTCTAGGTCTGTTGTTAAACCTTGATACGCCCTTCAAATGGTGTGTCGTAAGAAAATTTTTCTTTCATCGTCGCACGGGTGTTCATTGCCAAATTTGATTGACCTTTGCAATGACACTTAGGTATCGTGAAATTATATTAAACGACAAATCGTGTGCAAGATGCATGTTCCCTTTGCACTTCTATTGGTCGAATTCATAGGTTCTATTCGCAATCAATATTTTTTTTTTTTTTTTTTTTTTTTTTTTTTTTTTTTTTTTTTTTTTTTTTTTTTTTTTTTTTTTTTTTTTTTATAGAACTTAGAATGGCAAAAAAGCTGACGGCCCACCATATGGAAAGTGGTAAACAACGCCTATAGACATGAACAGTACCATGGACATAACAGAGTATACTGTTTCGCCCATGATACCCCCATGCGTTGCCATTCCTGAGGACTCAGGTGTTATTCCTCTGTACCCAGTAAATTCACGCCATATCCCACCCTTCAAACCGAAACACAGCCATGCAAACACAACTGCTTCACGGTTGAAACACGAATGGGACAGAGGTACCCAAGCAATCGACTTTTGTACAAAGTCTCCCTCTGGTGAGACTTTGTACAAATTTTATTGTGCCTACGTCATAATACCATGCAAGCGTAATAACAGGTCACCCTGGGGTTTTTGAACCGAGCGGGGCTTTTATATAACCCCGCGTCAAACAAGTCTGCTCTGTTATGTAATCGACCCCTTCGTAATTTAGGTTAGGACTAAGAAACCACGTGATGCGGCAAATTTTGAACACGTCCACCAAGAGTGTGTCGTTCCAACGCAATGCTGTCGCAAATGCTGGTGTGTTGTCTCTGATTTAATTCTGATGGTGTTCTTAGGGCATATTGCCGGGAGGTTATTGCTCTGTTTATAAATTGCAATCATATATTTAGCCGCTTAGCGGCCAATGGTGGCGTGCATCTGCGACACACCTCCGTGGGACTTGAAAAAAATGGAACGGCTGCGCGCGCAGCCGGCTGAATATTGAGCGCACGTCACTGCCAAACCAGTTGTCAGTTGTCGGCCAGCGGCGACGGGCGTGTATTGTGTTTGTGCGAAGTGCGCGGAGCTCCGACAATGGCTCTGCTAAGACGACTGGCCGTGAACGCGCCTAGGAACGTCCGAGTCCTATCCTCCGCGCCGTCTCCACGTGACGACCTCGACCTTAACTTTAACAGTCCGAAAGATGCGTTCAAAAGTAAGAAGACCAGCGAACTGGTGCGGGCGTATTTCGTCTACCAGATATGTTCCGTGAATTGGATCGTAGAGAATAATGCCATGGTAAGTCGATAGTTGTCGTAGATTACGTAACCCAAATTTAAGAAGCAGCAGTGTTTACCCGCCGGTAACTAATGCCCGATGCTCGGAAATAGGATCATCCTTGAATTAGAAGGTGCGAGTGATTGATGGGACCGCTTGCTACGTAGGTAGTTTTTACTTGCAATCTTTCTCATTGAGTCACGCGACTAACCGTTAAGAATTTATAATTTGAAACACATGGCTTTGATTGACCGCAAGGAATACAGCTTCTCCATTGCGTTTATTTGATAAGGATTGATTTTTTTGTTGAGGTGGAAGGTTATTAGGGATGTTAAGGAGGTCAAAACTGCTTCAGGATCGAAGGAATCGGTTTATGAATGGGAATAGATTTTTAATCAGCATAAATACGCATGCGCGCCCGGTTTGGGGCCCGACGACTGTAGGTGGGGTACACGTCTCCATGCTTAGTATTATGCCGGTTGACTACCGGTGGCAGTGGCGGTGGCGGTGGCAGTGGCGGTGGCCGGTGTTATCCAATATTCGTGACGCGATGTGACGCGAAGCGATTTATGTCGCCTGCTACTTACTAAGTATACAGAAGATTTGTCGTCGCGAATCTAACACCTACGACGGTGTACCGTGTCCCATGATATTATTGTATACCTTTTTTAACCGACCATAAAAAATGAGGTTATACGCTTTGGTGCGTATGCTTCTTTTGGGTGTAGGTACGTAATGTAAATCGATTTCTTGGAGATTTTCGGTCGAATTGAATGATTCCTTTTTAACCGAATTGAGAATTTAGATTCGTTTGTTTTTTATTCTTATCTTTTAAGTAGTAATTTTTATATTTAGATAGGTTAGATATATCAATTAATATGGGTATGAATTTACAGAGTATAGAGGTATAAAACCTTATTTCTTAGGAATGGCAACATATGTAGGGTATCTTGGGCGACACAGTATGCTGTATTATGTCCATGGTACTGCTCATTTCTATAGGCGACGCTTACCAGTTTCTATCAGGTGGGACTTCAGCTAGTTTGCACTTCTGAGTTGCATGAAAATGGATTTGATCACATTTTTTCTTGTAAATCAAAAAAAGAAAATATGTTCTCTTACTTCACAAGCTTGTGCTGGTTTTAGGTAAGCCTCAAAAGTAGACTGAAGCATCATAACGTCATGCGTGATACGTTGTTCCCAATCCTGACTTGGAGAATTGAGCACGACTCCGTTTCGGCCGACATCGTTTTTTTGTGTTATTAGTTATCTGACCACGAAATAAGACTTATTAATTTAGAAGACATGTTGGACGCATTAGGACTGCAGATATTATGAGACAGAGTATTTTATAAAAAGTATTTTTTGTTTGTATTTTTTTTTATACCACTGAGGTGGCAAACAAGCATACGGCCCACCTGATGGTAAGCGGTTACCGTAGCCTATGAACGCCTGCAATACCAGAGGTATTACGCGCGCGTTGCCGACCCTGAAGAAACCTCTTTATGTAACCTCTGTATGTTCTACAAACTGTCTTCGGGTCTTATAACAGTGGTAAAATCCCTTTTAAACTAGACATGGGTAATACGGATAGCGGGGGGGAAGGGGATTGTTAGTAATGGAGACTGAGAATCCCATTGCTAGCTATATACCTAACCAGGTCGACCTCCTCGCGGTTCTCCCTGGAAACTATCATGGTTAATACTTTATGAATTCATCATGATGGGCTAACTGGCCTGTTTTCATTCTCATCTATCTCCCTTCACTGGTGCTTCGCCAGCGTATCCCGTTAGCGCAGGCGGGGCTACCATACCATTTTCACCCATTAATATACGGATACCGATCTGATATCTATATATTGGGTTCCTCTGGACACTGATGGCGGGAAAAAGGTCATCACCCATTTCGATATCGCTATATCGGTCGGATATCTATTTTCTAAAATATTAAAAGTATGTTATCCAAAAAGTAATATTGGATAACAGACTTTTAACATATTCAAATAGACTAGTTGGGGGAAGGGATTGTTAATAATGGGGGGGAGGAGGTTAGTCCCTATTCCTATCAATATACTTTATCAAGTCGACCTCCACGTGGTTCCCCATAGAACTGGGTATACAATACTAGGTTCTAGCAATTCGATCTAGTTGCCCTACATGTATATATATATATATATATATATATATATATATATATATATATATATATATATATATATATATATATATATATATATATATATATATATATATATATATATAATTCGCTTGTTACCACGTCCAAATTAAGCTGTAAAGGCGTCTACAGATTTGTTAGAATTGTCAATTAACATTGTCGCATGACAAAAGCAAACACATAAGTGGTTTCGAAGATAATCTCCCACGCTAATACATATGTAAATTGTTAGATGGAAGCTAATATTTACTTACTCATACAAAGATTATATAGATATGTTCCTAGTTGAGATTCTTTTATATATTTGATATATATAATCGTTTATGTAAATAGTAATGAGCTGTGTCCATAATGAGCATTCTAATTAATTAAATATGTACCTATTATCTTCTATACTTACACACACAGATGGATACACATACAGATTGGTCTCGCAGAAATTTTATTAAAATCGGTTCAGCAATTTAATATTTAAATCAAAAAATGGTTTTGTCATAATTGAATTCAAAAAGTATAAAAAAATTAAAGCTGGCTTTTTTGGAGGACACTCTCTTATTTCAATAAGATATCTATACTTATAATAAATCTGTAGAGAATGTCAATTCTGTACATGAAATATATTTCCAAAATAACTATTAGGAAGTGATTAGTGATCGATACTGATGCCAAAAATGCAACCAGTAAAATTTTTGTCTGTCTGTCTGTATGTTCGTTATAGAAACAAAAACTACTCGACGGATTTTAACGACACCTGGTACAATTATTCTTCATACTCTTGGGCAGGTTATAGTATACTTTTCATCACGCTACGATCAATAGGAGCAGAGCAGTGAAGGGAAATGTTAGGAAAACGGGAGAAGTTACTCCATTTTTAAGCGTCCGTCGCGTGTGCAGCCTTAATGGCCACTTTTTAAAATGTATAAATGTCCACCCGTGCGACGCCGGGACGGGCCGCTAGTAATGAATAATTACCGTATGGTCCCGCCATAGAATGGGCCTTTTCCGTGGTGTCGTAAGAAACGACTAAAGGATCTTACTGGTCGTCGGATAGGCAGCAGCGTCCCACTTAAAACATCATAGATAGCCTAACTGCGCTTGCCAACCCGCCTGCCAAGCGTGGCAACTGCTGGAAAAGCCTTCTCCTTCTGGAGAAGACTATATTTAGTGGTGGACAGTTAATGGCTGATATGATGATAGTTAAAAAAGATAATAAAGTATAAAAATAGTAAATTAGTTTATTGTATTTTTTTTTATCTATGGTAATCATATTATGGTAATACGATAAGTACCTAACTCCTAACCTACTTACATTCAATTATGAGAAAATATAGTGTAATTTTTTTTATTGTCATTTATTTAAATGACTAGTTTGAATTTAGCCAATAACGCACAAAGTAAATATAATTCGCCATATTGCAAAGCGCCATCTAGTTTGAGAAATAAAAAACATCTAATAGAGATTAAAAAAACATTAATACTAGCTAATGTGTGTGTACATATATATCGACAAATATACGTCGAATATATATATATTCAATTATGCTAATCACTCGAATATTTAATTTCGCTTCGCCAACTGTCAGAAAAAAGAAATACTAGCTTTCACCCTCGACTTTTTTCGCATGATGGAATATGTTCATTGACCCGGATAAAAAGTAGCTGTATAATTCGTGAATAGCCAGTTGCATAGCGATTGTTTAAGCTGTTAAAGCGCTTAGTGATAATAAATAATCAGAGGGAGACTTTGTACAAAAGTCGTTTTCTTGGGCACCTCTGTCCCATTCGTGTTTCTACTATGAAGCAGTTGTGTTTGCATGGCTGTGTTTCAGTTTGAAGGGTGGTATATGACACTGAATTTACGGGGTACAGAGTAATAACACCTGAGTCCTCAGGAATGGCAACGCATCCGGGGTATTATGGACGAAACAGTATACTGTGTTATGTCCATGGTACTGCTCATGTCTATAGGCGACGGTTACCACTTTCCATCAGGTGGGCCGTCAGCTTGTTTGCCATTCTAAGTTGCATAAAAAAAATCACTTTCGTATTTATAATAAGGAATATTTTTTTTTTTTTATAAATACTTAATTTTTCATTGAAAACACCCAGATTAATATAAACTGATGAAACTGCTCATAAATACAATTTTTTTGTATAATCAGGATCGAATCCGCGACCACTGAAAGGTGAGGCAGTATGTTAGATCATAAGATAAATAAGGATATCAATGTTTAATTATTTAATTATAGAAAAATAAAATTAGATAGTGCGTTTCACAAAAAAAAAAAAGATAAATTGTCGCAAAACCAGTTATTTTGGTTTAAAAATTAAACTACTGAACTGATTTTGATAAAATTTCTATGGAACCAATTTGTAAGTATATCCTTTCAGATAAAAAAATAATTTTCCAAATCGTTTTATCGGACGGAGTTGTGAGGTAACAAACATTAAAAAAAAATACAACCGAATCTGCTTCTTTTTGAAGTCGATTGAAAAATAAAGTAGGTACATCTCTATCGTGGCGCAAATAAGTATACAATACAACACTGGGGGCATAGCCAAAAGATCTTGCGTGCTATAATTATAACGTGATTCTCAAGGACATGTCTTTGGTCTATGAATAGGTATTCACTTTTTAATTTATAATTATCTACGCAAAAAACTGTTACGTCATTACGTAATACTTCTATAGTAGTACAAAAAAAAAAACAATATGATTTGTTCGATACTACCGTATCGATGATATGCGATAAAAAATTTAAATTCACAATCTAAATAAAAGATAAACACAAAGTTTAAAACTTTATGAATCTTGTCTTTTGTCTGTTCCGAATTTGAACAGAAAA